ATTCTTACATAAATTGCTCCTTCCTGAAGAAGAGAGATGGATGAAAAATCAAATCAGAAAGTAGTATGAAATTAGTAATCCTACAGGTCAGTTACAGCAAGTTAAAAGAACGACCCCAAAAATAGTAAAGGAGGCAGGCATTACAGGGAGTACACCTGTAAAGGGAGGTTTCAGCTGAGGATTTCTAAATTAAACCCTGAGAACTAAATCATTCAGGTGCAGATAGATCTTCCAAAAGGACATCGTGACACTCCTTCTGCCCAGAGCCATGAAAACTATTGCAGAGTGAGTGCCAGCAACCCTAACATTTACTATTATTGTGGTGGTGCACCAGAGCCTTGGTCCTTGTGTGGGGGGCTGTACAAGAAGAGCATTCAGATTCAGAGGCTGAAAGCCAAGTGTAAAATCAGAAAAATAACACATATTTGTCACAGGCACAGGGAGCATGAGAGAAGAAAAGCAGTCAGGGCACTGCCAGGATTTTTTACAGGCCATACAGACAAGGAGAGTGTCAGAGAGAGCTCAGAAAGATTATTTTTCAACACACATTATTAAGAGCCTGGTAGCAAGGATGGGAGGAAGCACAGAGATACTCTGGAACAGATGAACAGGGATGGGCTGGAAAAAGATGGATCTTGAAGAGGAAGGAGCAACACAGAGCGAAGGGCTAAGAACAGTCCTGCATTGTGAGGACAAGGGCTTGGTTATCCAAGAGTTTTCTTTCCCTCTCTTGTTTCCCAGGGGGAGGAGCAGTGTTTCAAGGGAGAATTAATACAATCATTTCACTGTGTTGAGAGATTTATAGTTTGACTTTACCATGTGTTAAAATATTGATTCTCTTTCTAACATATGCTTGAGATATTGACAATGTTTTTTTTTTTCTCTATAGAAGACTGACTTCTGCAAACAAAAGGTGGGACTTCATGGTAGGATGCAGCGAGGATGGGTAAAAACAAAGTGATGTAAGAGAAGCACAAGTCTCGAATTTCTTCCACTCAATTACATAAAGATAGCAAGAGAGACACTGAGCAGTGTGTGGCGGTGAGAAGCTGGAATAATTAAACAATAATCTGACAGACGGTGCACTTACGGGCAATTACAGCAAGCCTCTGCTGGCACTCCAGGGCACCAGGCCAAAGACTTAAGCGATTCAAACCACACAAGTAGAGCAGTAACCTCCTAGAAAAGCCACTGTAGAGCATTTGGCTTAGGAGCCCAGAATGGGACTTACATGGAGCCAGGTCTCTGCATTTACCAGGTGTTAGCAGGAAGAGCAGCCTGTCAAAAACTGTACCTGTGTCCCTCGGATTATGCATTTCCAGGCACGTCTCCTTGCCTTTTGCATACAGCTTGAAGATCTGCCTCAAACTACATCAAACTGCATCACACAACAAACATAAAATAAGTATATTCAGAACGTTCCACTAAAAAAAAAATCATTTGTCTGCCAACTTCCTTTCAAAAACAAGGACTGGGTTAAACACCAAGCAACCAAGCTTCAGGCTCTGAAGGCATTTGGGATTTCTGCAGGGAGCCACGCCAGGCTTTCTGTTCCTTGCCTTACCCCACCCAGTAAACCCAAACCACCTTCCTCCTCCTCCTCTCTCTGAAGCTGGGCTCTGTGTCCCAGGGTACCACTCAGCAGCTTCAGGGACAACTGCATGAAACCTGCAGGTGTATTTCTGAAAGCACTGGGATGCATTGTTCACCAAATGCTGCCACACTACATTTCTGATCTCTTCAGCACACAGAGAGGTGAAACAAGCTCTAGCATTTTAGAAAAGAAGAAAAGAGAGAGAGATCCAAGTGGAAAACACTTGATGCTGTTAAAATCTTCTTAAACTGTCAACAAAAAATTTACTCAGAACAGAAAGTCACCTTCAAGATGGGTAGTTCTCATCAAAGTGACTTGATGAGTGGTATTTTTAAACACCCCATGTCTGGAGCTGCATGATTATACAGGACTCTAAACCAAATTTTTGCTTTTAAAAGTAAGGACTTGATTCCAGACTTTCTTGTCATATGGAAAACATGAACTTGAAAGGCTTAAAAAGCAGAAGGAAAATAAAAAGCATTTAAAATGTATAAAGACAAAACCCAAGCCTCATAAACAAATGGGACTGGCAACATTGCTTCACCTAAATGCTTTTTTCTTCTACTTAGTAGGAGATGTTTCTCAAGACTTGAAATAAGTGTTGTTTTGTATCTGCAGGGCTTTCAGCAAGTGGCTGCCAAATTACGAAACCCTCTGGATTCCAGCAATGCACATCTCTGCTGTCTGCTGCACTCAGAGTATCTGGGAACAGGAGGAGGAAAACAAGCTTATCATTTATAAAATTATTGCTGGTTTTGTGGCTGTGAGGCTCTCTGCAGTGCACAAGAATAACTTGTTTGTGACATCAGTAAAATAAGGATGTGCAACCTAGAGCACGTTGTCCTCTCCATGGATACCACGCTCAGGCTTTCTCAAATAACACTGGGTTTCATCCCGAGGTCGAGTCTCAGGACTCTGGGAAGCTTCATGGCATGGAGACACAACTTGAGACCTGAGCACAAGGACAGTCTTGTTCTGACTTCTTCAGCCCCGTGGAATGACACCAAGATAACGCACTGACTCAGCACAGCCCCACTGCAAGTGCACGGTGCTTTTCCCAGATGGAAGGGCTTTGGCAAAAGCTACCCAGCTATTCCTGGCAACTGGAAAGGCCCGTGAGAGAAATGAATGGGTGCTTGAGCACATGTCAACCCCAGAGGACAAAAAGGTCAAAAAATGGGGTATAACTATGAATAAATACAAGCCTTACTCAAAACTAAACTCAGTCCTGTTTTTAAGGCACTTTGAAAAGCAGGATATTAAGCTGCATGCCCAAGCCTCCCTCCTCTCTCTCATCCAGACTTCCCAGTCATGAAGGTGGTAACTATGATTTTTTTTCCCAGGAAAGGAAAAAAGGAAGGAGGTGTCTTAAAAACAGACTTACTAGAAACTGTTGAAAACAACCTCCACAATCACGCCTGTCCCAGTGCTATCAGCTTCCTAGATAGGCTGCCAAGCTGGCATTTGAGTAGCTAAGAAAATGGGTCTAGTACAGGATGCCAGACTTCTCAGTCACTAAAAAGCTCAAGCAACAAACTGAGCTGACCATTGTTTCTTATCACCAAGCAAACAAACCCTGTTGGCAGGAAAACTGCTTTTGGAAAGTGATTCCCTGCACAACTGAGATGGGCTCCAAATGCAAGTGCTCACATAATGCTGGACTCCAGGTGGCCATTGGCACTGTGAAGGACACTGGTGAAAAACCTGGCCTACAACTTGATTTCAACATCTTGCTTTCAGCTCGTTTCTGTTGCTCTGCAGGCCATATTTGTTACCACAGGAATAACTCTGCTTTCACAGTGCAAAGTTTTCAGTCATAACTGGGTATCTTTTATGTTCATTTTTAGCCCTGGCCATATCTAAGAGGGTGGATAGTTTCTTACAAACAAACTGACAAACAACTACAAATTACTGATCTGCAAATTGCACGTACTGTTTAAAATGCCCTGGTCTAAAAACATCCATCATAAAGCAGTGCCTTGTCCTTTCCCTTCCAGTCAGCACAAAATACTGATTGGCACAAGGAAAGGCACATCAGACAAAGGAACTTTTCTCACTGAAATCGGTGGGAATGCTTCTGAGCACTTCAAAGGGTAGAGAAGGATGTCCCCAGCAAGCACATCCATTTTACAGCCTCACCAACACTGGTATTCTGACCTGAAAGTGGAAATGTGAGTAAGGCCAAAAAGGCCCCTTTCTGTGCTGCCCAGGAGAGTCCCCTTTGGCCAGCTCCACAAAGGCAGGAGGAGGAGCCCTGCTCTCTCTCACGCTCTGGGCTCTGCTGGCCTCCAACCCAGCATCAGGAGAGGCTTCCAGAGGTGCAGCCGGGTACCTGAGGGATTGTCAGCTTCCTACTCTAGGTTGCCTAAAGGAAAAAGGAAATAGTTCTGGAACAATGCAGACAGAGGCTTTAAATAACTGGCAGAGAGGTGCCGCTTACTGGAAGTTAAAAGTTTTATCACTACTCTCCCAGCAAACCTTTGATCCCACAGCAGAGAGCTCCCACTGGAGCTAGCAGAGGGAAGGAAGCACGCAGACAGCCACCACCAAGGCAGAATGGAAAAGAATTATTATCAAAGATAATTTTTCCCCTCATTTTACTCATCCACGGCCATCCCTGTGCATAGCAAGAAGCCGGATCTCAATCCCAGCACACTGCAAGGAGCGTTCCCCCTGCCAAGGCCAGGTTAGCAGGATTACCAGCCTGAGCTGGCAATCCCCGGGCGCACAGGGTGTGCGGGGCACACAGCAAGCTCGTCAGCAAACTCCAGAATTACAACACATCCCGGAACGGGGCCTGCCGGGGCACGGGGCAGGTGAATCCCTGCCGGCCCCTCCCGGCTCCCGCGGGGCTTTCCCAGGGAAGCTGCTCCCGGTGGCAAAGATCCTGCGAAAGGCGGACCCCCGTGGGGATCGCGGTGCACTGGCCCGTCAGGTTCGGCGACATTTGAGCTCTCGGTGTTTAGAAAGAGAGCGGCTTTTGCTGCTGTTTACATGTCAAACACAGCGTGATTCACAGCGCGATCCCCAGGCGCTGCCTGCAAACGAAAACCGGGACGCGTACGCCCTGGCCACGCCCGTCTGCTGGACGGTGTTTGCTGGGGATTTTATTTACAGAAGCAGAAAATGAACCATAAAAGCGCCTCAAAGCCTGAGTTCCGCGGCGGGCCCTGGCGGGCGGGCAGGCAGGCAGCGGCTCGCCGGGCCGGGCAGGCCCGCGCAGGTGGGACGGCTCCGCCCCAGAGCAAAGCCCGGCGCAGCTGAGGCGGGGAGCGGCATCCCGGAATCCCGGGACCGGGACAGCCCCGGCGGAGCCCTTCCCGCCGCGCCCGGGGCTGCCCTGCGCAGCTCCACGCCGAGGACTACAGTTCCCAGCGCGCATTGGGGCGGCCGCAGCCCCGTTAGGCCTACCACTCCCAGCACGCACCGGGGGGCACGGGAAGGGTGCGTGGGCGTGGCGCCGCGCAGTGCAGGCTGGGAGCTGTAGTTGTCCCCAGAGGCGGTGCCGTGCCGGAGCCGCCATGCCGGAGGGGACGGGAGCGCTGCGGGAGGTGCTGCCCAAGCAAGGTACCGGCGGCGAGCACCGCCCGGCCCGGCCGCCCGGCCCGGCCGCCCGGCCCGCCCCTCGCTCACGGCCCGTTTCTCCCTTTGCAGGACAGCTGTCGGTGGAGGACACGGCCTCCATGGTGCTGTGCAAGCCCAAGATCCTGCCCCTCAAGTCGGTGTCGCTGGAGAAGCTGGAGAAGCTGCAGAAGGCGGTGCTGGACGCGGCCCAGCCGCCCGAGGCGGCCCCGCCGCCGTCCGCGGGGGCCGCGCCGCCCCGGCAGTAGCGCGGGCAGGGTCGTGCCCGGCCCCGCGCTCGCAGGTACCGCTTGGAACGGGGCTGCGGGCTAAGCGGGGCCTGACGGGGGGTGGTGCCGGCTGGGCGGGCAGGCCGCGCCTCGGGCGCCGCTGGTGTGCAAGTTGCGCTGGTCGCTGCCCAGGCGCTGCTTTGAACCCGTCTTTAGAGGTACCGAGTTCCACAAGCCCCTGCTCCAAGCCGGGCTTACCAGACCCGCTCGAGCACTGAAGCGCTTCTCCTAGAGCACAGCATATTCCCGGCCCTGGAACGGCTATTCCCAGCATTCTGGAACACCTGAAATCTTGACGTGGAACTGAAAAACAAAGGAGAGGCTCTACCGAGTTCCTGTAAGCGAGTCATCCTTAGATCCATCTTGTTCTTGAGCAAGGGCTGCACGAAGCTCTGCTGCAAAGACACGTTCACAGGATCTGTGCCAGCGTGGACGCTCCTACGCAAGTCAGTTGTGTTTTCCAAAACAGATCTGGTAAATACTCACTTGCCATGAGCTTAATTATTCTGTGCTCTCCTCCTGACTGCAATACCAAAGGGCAGCATTAGATGTACCGCTTAATTTATTCTGTTTAAAATAAATAAAAAGGAGGCAGAAACAAGAGCTTCACAAAAAATATTTTTAATATGTTTTACCAGAACTTTTCACTTTTCCAGTTACATAGAAAAAAAGACAAGTTTGGTACATGGGGGCTGAAACCAACCAGTGTTCTCCCCTGAAACAGTTGAATTCATCTTGTGCCCCAGCTGTATTTTCTTGGGCTCTTTAAAACAAAGAAACTGCTAATTTTTTTCAACTCCCAAAGCACAGTATTTCTTTAGCAGCAATGGAAATGGGATCACAGCAGCTTAACTTGACCCTTCTATAATAAAGCTTTGTATAAACCAGTGATTTTATGATGACAGCACTGTCCTGGAAAGAGCGAGCGGCAGTCAGACATCGATGCACACGTGGAATGATTAGGTCATAAACATGGCACATACAGAGATAGCTTATTTCAAGGCACCACCACAGCAGAGTGGCTAGTTGTTCTACTATATGCCCAAAGAAAGAACACTTCTTCCTGAAATTTACAAAACTATAAAAAAAAAAAAAAAAGAATTTGTACCCAAAACATGTGCTCTTAAAAAAATACCAACTGTGCTAAGCAACTCTTAAATTTGGTCTGTCCTAGATGTGCATCCATTCACACACCAGAGGAGCATGCGTGTTGTACATATCGATAGCGAGCTATGTTCCCTTTCAACTCGTAAGGCTTCAGGAGGCAGCTCTCACATTCAGTAGCTTTCCAGCTTCAGACGACCTCCATCTCCTTCACTCACAAAACGCTTCCTGCCCCTGTAAGAAAGTCGAAAGTTTCTTTTCAGTAATTTAGCGTTGCTTGTTTTTTATCGCTGAGAAAAATCTTCTCTCGGGTCTTGGAAGTCAAATATAAAGTGTGAATTCAGCAGGGTTAGCAGTGATCACAATGTCAGCTCAGCTGCTTAAAAATGCTGGTTTGGAAACCTAGGAATGGTGGGTTTCTACTTAAAACTGAAGTACACAAACCAAAAATGCCTCTCAACATATAACTGCTAACTAAAGTATAATCAAGCTTTTGATGCAGTGATGACTCTCTATCCTCCCACACACCCAAACCTGCAAAACATTTCATACCAACACACACAGAGTTTTAAGTGTGAAGTCCACAAATGGAGGCTGTTCTTGATAAAGATACTAACATTCCAAGATCCAAATTTATCACGTTTAAGAATTCTAACAAAACACCCAAAATAGAAAAGACCTGTCAAATAAATACTATTCCCAATGCATAAAACTGTGAATAATAGTATTAACATCCTATTTTAAAATTTACATATATTCCCCAGAGGAAATGAAACTTCTTAACTGTTTTGTGACCAGTAAGGAGGTAACAGCGTATTGATTAGGTACAGTAACCAAGCTATAACAACAACAAAAAAAAAAACATTACAGAAATCCCAGGACAGATATGTGGAATGGGGTGTGCAGAGCTTATCCCATATTAGTGTCCTGTTCCGTTTTATGTAACTATTAGGACTGATTGTCTCATCTTAGAACTCTACTCACACTGTTTGGTAAGTTTAAACCATTTTTAAAGCATTATTTTTTAATTTCCCCAGTATAGCTGACAGTTTTCCACTGTCACCTACACGGACCATTGTGACAACCTGAATCTTCCAGCTTGGCGCTGCACTGATTTCTGCCAAGCAAATCAGGAAACCAGAGGAGAGGCAGCCTTTATCTTCTGGGGAATGCTGAGGGGTGCTGCCTTACTCAGGTTCACAGGAGGCTGCCTTTCCTCAAGTATTTATCCCAGCCTCAACAGGTTTCACATCAGTGCAGCTTCTAAATACACATTTTAGCAGTCCAACTGCTGTTCCATCCACCAGTTTCCAATCAGCAACACTTTGGTCCCAAGATGCTGCTTTCTGTAACCTGTAATAGGAATGAAAAGCCTTTGCCTATCTACAATAAAAAGAGTGTACAGCTTCTAAATACACATTTTAGCAGTCCAACTGCTGTTCCATCCACCAATCAGCAACACTTTGGCCCCAAGATGCTGCTTTCTGTAGCCTGTGATAGGAATGAAAGCCTTTGCCTATCTACAATGAACGAAGTACCTCGAAGGGCAGAGGTCTCTCAGGGGCTTGGAGATGATTCCAGCCTGGAAACATTCCTCTACAAAGCGCTCCAGCACAGCATAGGAGTGTGGCACATCCAGGTTAATGTCTGGGATTTCACAGTAAACCCGTTCATAGCCCTGCAGTGTAAGGGTTCAAATATACATCAGGTTATTCTGTAATTTATTACAATGTTTTTAAATACCCTTCTGCATTCCAGAGGATTTATTTTTATATGGTTTCACAAACCTAAAGCATTGCAACTACAAGTAGAGAAATAAGGTATATGATATCAGCCCATACCATTATACAAGTATCTATCTACATAAAAACAACCTGAACTTTTAACTTCTAAAGAAGTCAGAAATCCAGACAGTATGAATGAACTCTGTATGTTAACCTGCCTGTTACTACAAGCTTAGTAACATGGGAAGAAAATTATTAAGTCTTTCATGTAAGTGAACAAAATGTGGCCACAAATGGCCAACACAAGTTTATGCAGCAGGGGAGACTGGGAACAACCAGAGATGACTTCATCACTTCCCACCAGCAACACAGCTGGGACAATTTTTATGTAAGTGTTGGTGTGGTCCCCAGTCTGCCCTGGGACAGAATTGCTGTCCTATACTCATCCTGAAAAGTCACAGATGATTCCAACTGTGCAGCATATGCAACATACTGGTTTTTGTACTGCTCTACTTGACATTTGTAATTAGTAGGCCTTTACTGTACTACTTCAGTTATAAAGAACTACCAGATAAAAAGACAAATTTAAAAGATGAAGCAATATTTCAGCATTTTAGATTATTAGTTTTAACCATTTAACTTCATAAAGGCAGCTAGAAATTTTGGAAGATCTTATGTAAAGTTCTCTAAATGTCATACTTACTCTTTTCATTTGGTCCACAGTAATGACAGAAGACTTCCACAGAGTTTTCAGCAAATCCAGTATCATTTTAAAGGTCTTTTCTCCAGTTGACTCCAAAACCAGTACAATGGCCTAAAACAAATCATGCAAGTGTTTTGACTAAAATGAGAACACTGGCTCAGGTACAAGATGTGTGACCATACGAGGTACAGAAAGGAGTGAATGTGTTATGAATTTTCTGGGGAAAAAAACCCATTTGCTACATGCACTCACAATTTCAGTTAATAATATTATTATTAGAAAAGAAAAACTAATGAAAATTCTTTGGATAAAATAAAAGGTATGAAAAAACCAGAAAGGACTAGACAGAGTGAAAAGCATTGCCTTTCTCTCCTGGTTTCACCATTACATGACTATATCCATATGGCTGCTGCAGTTCAGATGGCAGTTAATTAATTTTGTGAAATTAATTTTGTATCCATGGGGGTTTCTTATCTGTGATTTTGGGAGGACTCATAAGCTTAAAATCTACTTAAAACCCCCATCACATGCACAACCCCCATCAACTGAAATGATTCTGTAGTTCTATTGTGAAGGAATTTTCTATAACAAGTCAATTTGCTGAAAAGGAGATTTTGTAGATTGTGGGTGTTCAGCTTTATTGGTAAACAACAATTTCCCAATTTGACAGATAAAAAAGTACAAATGGGAACAGTCTCCCATATAGGCTGGGTCTGAAATATGTAAGCTTTTACAAATGTGCTGGGTGAAACAATCCCACCCTGAAAAAGGAAGCTCTATAACTGAACAAAAACAGGTTAACACCCATTAGAATACTCAGATATCTGAAACTAGAAGGAAATAAACACCAAAACAAAGCATGGGAGGATTTTCTTTGTTGCTATTCCCCAGCAGAAAATAAACTGAGATCTTATTTTCAGGAATTTATAATAATCTGAATTCAACTATTTAACCCCCAGAAATTACTTCTGGATTTTCCCAGAGTCAGCAGCAGCTTACTTGTTGCACAATGCACACACAAATAAGCACACAAACCTTTAACTTTACATGAATCAATTTAGTTATTCAAATAACAGAACAAGCAACCTAAGCTTCAAATGGCAGTTATATTATTTGCATGCCCACATCAAAACACCAACAATTATTAAAGGGAGCCTGATTTCTCCTTACTTCATATACAAGTTCATGGTGAAAATGGGGTACTTCCAGTTCCTGAAGGCAGCGTTCCGCTTCCAACACATCTCCAGAAAGCAAATACTCTTTCAGCAACATATCAATCTATTGAATTTTAAAACAAAACCCCAACAATAATTAGATACAAAATGTAAAAGCTGTTAACCATTTTGATAATCCACTAGCAACCCAGCAGCAAGTTAGTTCCTCAAACTTGCTGCCAATGCTTTTATAAATGTAATTAAATTTAGGCATTAATTAAAATGGAGACATTATCAGTAACCTGAAACACTGTGTAAGCCAAATACCAATCCACAGTGTTGATGCAGAAGCACCAAAATCATTGTTTTATAAGCTGTGTGTCACCATAAAAGGAGCATGTGGGTGGCATTAAGTTTATCCTCTCCCTTGAATGCCTCCTCCTATCATCTGTTAGACTCCCAACCCACAAATTGTAACATGACCTTTTCCTTCAGACCTGCTTACTTTAGAGCATGGATCTCTGAACATTCCTCTTTCTTCCTCTCTCTTTTTTGAGTTATTACTGTGCTTTTGATCAGCAATGCCAAAAAATAATAGTTTATCTAGTTTAGCCAGTTTCATCTTGGCTCTTTTAATTACTTCATCACTTTATACTGTGAGTCCTAAAAATCTGAATGCTTACAAGTTTTGCTTGAAGCAAAAATAAACATATACAGAGTGTTGTACCAGCATGCTCCCACCAGTGACAAATACTACAAAATCAACTAAATTATCTACATCAGTTCTACTACTTTGTCTAAATCAATTATATAAAAAAAGAAAAGTCCAAACAACAGAACAAAACCAACGCTCACGACGTAAGACATCATTTTAGTATGGGATCCTTGTCTCTCCTTCCCTCTCTCCCAAACAAAGTA